CATAGGAGAAGAACAAAAAATAGACATTTTAAAGTTGTGGTAAACAAGATACAATGTTTTAAAGGTATAATTCAATTGGAGGTAAATTACTTCTCTAAGTTATTCACAACTTACTGTAGCTTTTAGCATTCCCATACACATTCAGGATTTTTCAGCCTTTTTATTCAGCTGAAAGAAAACAGTGGTGGAAGCAGAAATGTTCACCTTGGCTTTGAGAGACAGTGCACACAACGCCTATCAGTTCAGGTCTTGATCCTGTTAATGATGGTACATGTGCTCAATTTTAAACCTGTGAACCAGTTCATTCACATCAGTAGTGCTAATTATAGACCTGCAGTCAAGTGTCATTCGGTGTCTATACAGAACCGTCACCTACAACTGCATCTGCAGAGACTGCAGAGAGGCCTGGGGCACCTCTTCAGTCAGATAAAGAAAACCCTGTTCTCCAAGGAAGCTGCAAGTCCTCATTACAGAAACTTACTGTATATGTGGGATTTTGGCACATAAATGCTTGAAGTAAGCAATAACATCTGGCAGGGCAGGGACTAAACTGGAATATCTCATTGAATCTTCTACATATGACCACTCAGACCACCAACTCGGTGGTGTACTTCCTCGTGCTATGCTGTTCTGTGTTATACCATTTCTTTACTGTCCACTAAATAATGAATGGGCAGAAATACAATACTTGATGACAAACTGGCATGAATAAATTATGTGAAGGAATGAAAAAGATGTGCAAAGAGAACCAAAGCACATGTCTATATGTGCCTCAGAAGGAAACACATATACATGCACTGGCAAGACAGGACTGGCAGGATGGCACTGCAGAGAAGAGATATGGATTGTCAGGGGTTTCATAGCCCAGCTAAGAAACCATAGAAGCACACCATGGGGAGCCTCTTAGCCCAGCTAAGAAACCATGGAAGCACACTGCAGGGATCTGAAAACACTTTATGCTGATTTCAAAAAGCAACAGCAGCTGGTAAGGTTACCTGAGCAGGTATAGCTACTGCCAGTTATTTATTTGACAGTAAATGAACATTTCTGGTTAGGACTGAGAAAAAGAACAGTCAGGTGGTCAGAAAGGTAGCATGAAACCTGGCACATCCTATCTCTACCACAGACTTTCAGAACAACCTCGCACAAGCTGCATTAATCTCTCTGTGCTTTTGCTCCTCTTCTGCAAAGTGAAGAGCTGAGAGCTCTAAGAATAACCATGTTGCAGACTAGGAGGACCCCGCTATGCCAGTGACAAAATCCTCCTCACAGGTTGCTTAGGCCCAGCTATGTGCTGAGTGACAACTCAGCCTAAAGGTGCAGGAATGGAAGTGTTGACCACCTGAAACTAACCACTTCCCTTTATCTGCCTGAGGTATCAATGTAAACATTTAAACTAGCTTTTCTAGCTGGCTTAATTTCTATTGGCTTTTATTTTTTTTTTTTTTACATAAATTCTCTTTGTATAGGATAATAGCCCAATATATGTAACAAATACTGTCTGGTATAATTCAGCCTATCTTCTGTTTCCTATCTTCTGACAACATCAATCTTCTGATGTCAGCCTGTCTTCTGATATCTCTTGAGTTTAACTGTGTGAGATACCAAGCACCTTTAGCTTCAGTATCTCAGCACTTAAAAGCCCAAGCCCCCTGTTAGACCTTATTTCAGGCTGAAATAATTCAACCTAAGCAGTGTTTAGCTCTGCTAAAACCAGTTCAAACAGCATTATTATTTTTTTTTTTTTCCATGAGCAGGGCACAAGACACTCCACACAAAAATGTGCTGTATACACAGAAGAAATCCTACATCGTTACAGAGCACACTTAAACATGTTCTGCCCCATTAGTTCAGTTCAAAATGGTTCAGTTCTCAAATGGAGATACACTCAAAATAACTCCATATATCCAAAATTGGAAAGCAGAGAATAGAATCAGCCCCTATTCATGACAAATGCCTTGGAGAATATCCTGTGTTCAAAACATGTTTCTCAAATCAAAGTTATAGTAAAAGGCATCTGTTGACAAAGACTGTTGTGGTGTCATTAGCTTTGTTTTGTCAGAAGAATTCAATCTGGGAAGAGTGACACTTCCTTGACTCCTTTTTTTAAATTAGATGAGAAAAAATGTCATCCTGGTATAACATGGTTTGTCATGGTGCTAGTGACTCGTGGGTGGATCTATCATTCTGTTAACGATGACAAGCAAGGCAAAAATCATGACAGATACTTCACTACCCAATTTGTACGGTGTTTGGGCTTATTTGCTCAGTATACAAAAAGCTTCAAAAGATATAATCTTTTAATTAGTATTACTTTTGAAGAAACATTGCTGAGGCAGCCTTGCTTATCAAAGTGTATGTAGTGTAATCACAGAATGAAGTTTCCATGACCCAACTTCAAGGAATTAGTAACAAGAATTTTTAAAAAATCTTTTAAATTTTGTCAAATAAAGTATTACTGTTTAATGAACAGTAATTTCATTCTAGCCATGTGACCCAATACGCTTCTCCAATAAAACTTTTAATTGGGATATATATTAATCTGTACAATAGACAAAGATTATTGGTACATAAAAATGTATGAACAGTAAAGGAATATATGGAATTTTGGTTCAGGAGAAGTAAGTTATCTATAGTTTTAGTATTAATCAAACTCCATTATGACCAGTGTGACAATGCACAGAAGTCTTGGGAATGTGATGCACACTTTTCAGTGCAAACAATGACACCATGTCAAAAACCAGTAAGGGCAGTGCTGCAAATCTATCTGACCGTCGAATACATGCTTGACTTTCCCTGGGACATATGCTTCGATTTCTTCTTGCTTAGTTTCACCCTAGAAATACACTACTTGGGGAGTTAATTTAATCTCTCTCTGCAGTGCTACCACATAGCAAAACAAATAGAACATAAAACATCTGTTACAGTTATTTCGATGAAGAAAAGCTTATTTAAATAAAGCACATCTTTAAAATTGCCATAAGGAGCAATAATGGGTATGGAGCTCAGCATTATAAAATACAGAATGCTGCTTGCTGCTCTGTCTGTAACAGCGGCAGCTGACTTTTGGGAGCCAGGAATATGTTCATCAATGAAGGCACAGAAGCATGAATGGTGCTAATGGTAAGTACACAGCTTTATGTACTCAGATTGTCAGTTCTGGTGATTCCCTAGGTCTGATATTTGGAGCTATTGTGCCTTGGTCTTTCAGAAACTAAAGACTACAATTAAATTGCAAAACGCATGCAGAAAACTTGCAGCATTTTTACTGATTTCAGTCAGTGAGGACATGGTAATTAAGCCATCACGACATCTTGGAGTCCCATCTGCCCCTCAGAGCCCCTTTGCATTCATTATTTTTTCTGAAGCTCTTTACTGGGTGCCAAGCCCTGTAGGTTGCTTTACACTCCAACACTTCTGATGTCAGATCATCTTGATTTTTTGACGAGCAAAAGATGCTTTTCACACTTCTAGGATGTGGTCTTCAAGTCTAATAAACACACAGGAATGAAATTAATCTAAATTAATTTTTTAAATAGTTCTTTTTTTTTTTTTCAGAGATAATTTCTATTTTAAGCACAATTGCCTTCCTCAGTGAGCCTTCCTTTAGTGTTTCCACATTGACCAAATGCTCACAGTTAGAGGTTTTTTTCATAGTGCTCTACCTGAAAAATACTAATACAACTTTTTAAATTTTTTTAATATAAAAAATATTGAGGTGGACAGGATTTTTTCCCCTAGTTTTAATGCATTACCCCACAATAGTCACCCCTGGATGTCTGGTATTTTAGTTCACATTCAGAAGCTGGACAGCTCCAAAAATAAATGTGATTCTGGTTTGTTCTGATTTCCCATTCTCTGTCACACAGCTGCACTGGTAACTTCTCTGCCTTTGCTAAATGACTGACTTGTGCTATCCATTCCCTTCAGGGCTTCTGTGGCAGTCAGCTGAAAGGTGTCAGCTTTTCTCTGGCTTCAGGCTCCGTTGAAATGAGTCTAGGATGATGCTTACTGTAGGTAGATATATACTAAGTGATAGTAAATATTTACAAATAGCACATAGTTTTGCATTGTTTCTAATCAACTAAGTCTAAGATTTTCACTAAGTATGATGGATTTTTTAAGAACCTCTGCTGAATTAATTCCCATAGGATCCAATTATGTAGCTCTTATTCAAGCAAGTACTTCTTATTTGTGCAAGTTATGTTACTAAGTATCACAAGAATTATTCACATGAATAAAGGAACTTTTATAAAAAGATCATGAAGTATCCCAAAAAAACTCCAAATATGTAAGTCAGTACTGGCAGGTACTGTCCTTCAGGAACTGGGACTTCTCATTCTATTTTTCACAGTGCTCAAATTCCAGAGCAGTTTGTTTGTCTGATGGATTTGCTCATTACAAGAATTTCACTGCACACCACTGATGGCTGGTTATAAAACAGGCTTCATGACACTGTTCTCCACATCCACTGGTAAATTAATTCACTGATTCATGGCATGGAATCGGAGATAAAATAAGCTAGCTCTTTCTGTCATCCAGCATTTGACTGTGAAATGCTGTTGCTGATGCAAACGCATACTTAATCTTGTTTAATACAATTTAATAAGAAGTAGGTCAGAAGTAAAAAAAAAAATTAAATTAAAATATATATATATATACCAGCACTTGTTTCCAAATCATTTAGTAGGAGGAAAGAAGCTTTTTAGCTGAATTAAAGTATACTTAAACTGGTTTAACTGCATGGTTTCCTGCAAGAGAGGGAGGGAAATAATTTCTACGTGGGCAGGTTCCCACAGTATTGATGAATCTGATCCTCTCCTCCTTATTGAGTCTCTAGTTGTTGACAATGGTTTAAACTAATTGGAGAGTGGATGTAAATATCTCTTCAGTCTACACTCATTCATCACTCACTGTGACCAAACCCTCTTTGGTAGACAACAGTGAAGCATTAGACAGAGATACCGAAATTTACTGAAATTGCCAAACTCAGTGTCCTGGTAGTGGAAATGCTAGCTTATCAGGAACTTGGCAGTCGATGTGATCATTTTCTCTGCTTGTTTCAAAGACAGTCAAATATCAGGTAAGATTGGTTGTGAGAGAAGCAGGCTGGAAACATCACCATAATTCAGAATATGTGGGTTGCTATTCTGCAGGAATTCTCACTTAGAAGATGAGATATATATAGCAAACTGCAGGTCCTCCATGCTTAAAGGAGTAACAATAATTTTACATTTCTGCAATCCAGAAGCCAGAAGATACTTTGGGGATGTGGTGGCTATAAGGAAGAAATGAAACACAGCTTTGACTGTTAAAAGATGAGCTCACATTTTTTCAACTGCTTTTTTCTTCTCTGTAGTACATGCAGTGAATTAGAGTGTGGATTTATTTGGATTGTTTATAAACTTCATGAGACCAAGATCCATCTATATGAAACTGATCAAGCTGAGGAGTAGGCTAAACACCTTGGTTTTCTTTGATTTGGCATCTCAATGGCCATAGGTCTCCCCAACCAATGTAATGTTCTCTTAGCTTTTTCTTCTTTTTTAAAAAACTGCATTCAGTGACAATGAAAATCTGGTTTGATAAAATGACATCAGGGAAAGGATTCCAGGAAGAAAAGCAAGAACTGTGGCTTCCTAACTCTGACTTCAGCAGAGCACCTTATTGCGAGTCATAGGAAAAAGTCTGTACCTCTGCACCCCATTGTGTATCCCTAGCTATTTCATAGACTAAAGGCTTTGGTGTCAGACTGCTACTAGTAAGAGAAGTGTAAGCCAGGGGAAAAAACACAGAAGACTAAGCTAGAACTTGTATCAAGAAATGATAAAGGGGAATGTAGTAGACTAATACAAGTGGAAACAATGCTTAGGAATGAAAAGGTGCAGTGCGTGATACTGAAAGCCTAGTGACATAGATTTAATTTGTGTCCCAGTCAGAACCCCCTCCACCTTTTCCTCTTTCTCTTAAATCACTTAAATCCTCCTTTGTCTGTATTTATCCCTTGAAAATGGTGTAATAGACCACAGGGAGGTCGTAGGGTTAAAATCCCATAATGGACTGTGTTGAAATATTACTTTAATTACAGCCATACAGGGTCCTATTCAGGATTTGTGTGGGGAGCAGGAAGATGTAAGCAAGGTAATAGAGAAGGTGGAGCCAGGCTCTTCTCGTCTTCGAAGGATTCAGATGGTAGAGTGAAACTGGACAATGCACACGTTCAAAGGCAGCTGATTTGCTTTTACCAAGATCAAGAAAAAAGGAATCCAGCGAAGCTGTCAAAAGCACAGTCCTTTTGCTGCTACCATGTGGTTTATTTTCACATTTCTCTGCTGTGTAACAAGGTCTGTAGTTTAGAGCTACAGTTTGGCCCTGTTACTAAACAGAAAATGTTTAGTCTCCCTCATTCATCCGAGATTCTTTCATCTGAGCAACTACGAGTACCTTTCTTTTATCTCCTTTCCAGTTTCCTCAGCAACATGCAATGCAATGCAAGAACAGTCCAGAAAAGCAGTGTCGGGCAACACCTTCAGTCTAGGCTTTCATGAAGCTTTCTAACCTTGACCAGTTCTGATGAGCACTTTAATAGTAGGCAATTTCAAGCATATGCGTCTTTGTCCCATCACAATGAGATATTACAGAAAGCAACTCAGCCTGTACTCTGTCACTACTTCCTCACCAAGAAAAGAGCTTCATTACCTAATAACTAGGTTTGCACACTGAATCTCTCAAGTACAGCATCTCCTCATGCTCAGTCAGTAATCCCCTACCTGGAGAGCCCCTTGTTGTAAGGGCTGTCTTTGAGTGCCCAATGCCATGTAACCAGACGTAAGCAAAGATCCAGATTGTGATGGCATTTCTTGCCAGGCTGAAGCAACAACATGCCATTTATTGGCAAGCCACTGTGGTTTCCTGCAGTGCTGCTAACTCCCTACCAGATATCCATAGTGCAATTAGAAACTAACTGGAACCAAGAAAATTAGTGGATGTTCATCAGGAATCTTCACAACAATCTTTTTCTCCTTGTAATCCTGTTTACATTCTATTGTGCTGGTCCATCTGCCATCCCTGGCTTCCTGAAATCAATGGCTAAATCTATAGCTAAAATCAATAGTGAGTAATCACCCCAGTGATTTTTAGGTAGCTACTGGGAAGGTGGCCAAAAATCCCATTAGGCATGTTAAGAACACTTTTCTTTCCCTGAGTCATCAAAATTAATATGAGTGAATGTGCTTCTAAAAGCATTAATGTAACTAACTCAAAGTTGTTTGACCATCTCTGCACAGATGTTCTTAGCTGGAATTAACAAATACTGGATTTCCATTTTCTCTGGGCCAAATTAAAAAATGCTGCACTTCTCCTGCAAAACTGAATAATTGTTTTACACAAAAGTAAAAAGTAACAGATGGAAAAAACTTAAAAGAATAATGGCTTGAAGAACAACAAAGATCTTCTTAATAACTTTCTATGAAGATTTATTTCACTTAGATTAAATAAAGTAGAAATTATCCCTCATGGTTGCTTAACAGCAACTCAACCCACTTTGTCCTGTAGGGAGATGGTATGAATTTCCAGAGAAGTACTGATAGCTACTACCAGGTTCCAGTCAGTAGTCTGATCAAATTAACCTGGTAACCGCTTCCTGTGCGTGTGAACTGCTGTAGCTCCTTTTCCCCCCCTCACTCTTCTACTTCACATGTTGTCATTGCTCTAATTCTATATCTACATACCAGATGTACAGTGCACTGGAGCTAATTTACCAGTGAAACTGAGGGTACCGTCTAAGGCACAAACAGCAATTATCTTAATAAATCTACCCACTACAGGTATTACAGGTCCTTTCTATCTTGTAATGATAAGTAGCGATATGAATATGCATTCAACCAGCTGTGTGTATATACAAATGTATCTGCCACTTGATTTCTGAAGATTTGCCAGTATTTAACATATTTCTTCTCCACCCCTGTGATGTTAGAATAAGTGGGGAAGACAGACATTGAATCCTTCAAGATGACTCTGAAGGACTACAGCAGAAGGAGGAGATTTCACCTGGCCATTGCTGGGTCCTGGCTACTGATCTAGATCTAGCTAAACAATTTATTAAAACATCACTGAAGGAAAAGGAAACTCTTAAAAGAGAACATTGTGAAACTAAAGCAAAGAAAGTGTACTTGCAATATGAAGGTGCTTCCAGAACTGGCTATCACCATTTTATTTACCTTGAACAACTACTTTTACATGCATTTCCCATCCTGCCTCATACCACTTTGTCCTGTGTTACTTTTGTTTGCAGACCTGTCCAAATGCAAACAGACAGAATAACTACTACCTGCTTATATTGCTCTGTCTCTTCCCTGGTCACACCTCTCCCATACAACAAGGAAGGCGGGTGAGACAGTGGGCAGATGCTATAATAAGAGCAGTCATCAAATTGCATTATAGAGTCATGCTGCAGGGACACAAACTGGAAGTTATCTGCTGAGAAGCGGTGACAGCTTTTTTTTGAGAAATGGATGAAGCTAAGTTCAAAGTCTAGACCTCCCTTCACTCTGTCTGGGTTGAGAGTGAGCCGGGACATGCTAATGCAGGCTCCTAGACAAAACTGATCGTAATCTGTCTGAACAGGGTTCTCAGTCTTGAGCGGAAAAACTCATCCATATGCAACACTACAGAAGAGCCTTCCTTAGGCAAAGCAAAATATTTACATTCTCTATCTTTGGCAGCTGATTCCTGTTATAGCAGTTTGTCTATCACATACAAGTGTGAAGTGGCAGGCAAGAAGGCTGAGACTGCTAATGGACTGGTGCTTGTTCCCTTTCTGACAGGATGTTTAGGAGGCATAGTGAGCATATATGGATACAAGGGAACCTTTGCAAGTGAGACAATCATGGCAAGCAACTTCTGGTTAGCTTCAGGCTCCAGGCAAAGGAGGGAATGTGAAAAAGCAGAATGGGAAAGAGCGCTGGTAATCCACAACTGAAATGATGGCTATTTTTCAAAAGATAGCTATGATGGCTTGCTCACTCTTTTATGCCCATGACAAACAGAAGATAAAAATATTGTCTCAGAATATCAGAGTAAAAAATAAAAAGTTTGATAAGGGAAGTGATATTTTTCACTGGGGGCAGGAAACACTGAACTGGAAGGTGTGACTGGGTAAGAGCTCTCCAGGACATACAGTTCAAGAAATGTTTCAGGTGAAATTCCATCTGCCCATCTCTGCCTCTTACCCCTTTCAGGTCCCAAATTGACCTTACAGAATGAAATATGAAAAGATTATAAAATTACTCTGCAATTATTTACTGAATGTACAAAGAACATTTCACAGGTCTCTTCACCCTATCAGAACAAAGAGAGAAACTTAAAATAATATTAGCACAAAAGGTCCTCATAGCACGGGTTGTGATTTTTTTCAAATCTTCAGATGGAAGTGAACATGTAACTTTGCACTTTGAGCTGATTTGTAAGAAATCCACTTTTTTGTGTGGATAATTGTTGTTTCAAATCAGTGTTGTTCCCTTCTCCTTTTTGGCATTCAAAACAGGTTGGAACCTCATGGAATCATATGCAACCTTTTGATAAAAAAGGATGGCAAGGATGCAAACTGAAGTTGAGTCGTTGCTGTTAAACAGCGCTTCAGAGATTGGAAGGACTTGGGGATGCATAATCATATGACATTCATATATGCTGAAGACTACAGATATTCACTATTAATAAAGGAGCGAATGGTGATTCTGTGTGTGAAGAGTCTGCAGTATTAGCTCAGTATCAAGCATATATGTAACCCCATTCTTGTGACATCACAAATTCCCTTTAATATCTAGGGCTAATTGCTTTTTTTCCTGGTAGCCTCACAAGGAAGCAGAAGATTGACAGCTTGCCGCATTAATGTCACTCTGCTGCTTCCATCCTACACCACTGACTTAGCAGAGGTCCTTCATCTCTACTCCTGCACTTTCTCACCTTTCAAAATCACCAGCCTGTCATCTGTCCACACTTCATTAATAGCAAAAACTATAATGCTGGAGCAGTATCTATTCTAACTTGACAAGTATCTATGAAGAAGCTGTTTGGCATAAAGGCCATCTTATGTCCTGCACCTGTCAAGTATTCATCATAGTTTAACCCCTGTTCATAACCAGGGCTGCTTGGTGCAGCAGTGCAAATAAACACATATTGTAAAATGATAGAGACGTGCTACTGCAGAGGACAAGCAGCTTGCGTGAAAAGAATACAGGTATCCTCCCAAGTCATTTCCAGAACAAATTACTACCAATAGCAGTCTACAAGACAGCTTTACTGTAGGAAATAATTTTAATGGGAAGTATTTAGCGTGGCTAAAAGGAGGAAATTTAATGTAGTTTTCATGCCCAAAGACAAGAGGTTTATGAAGATTTCAAAACTGTAGTAGTTTTATTCCTAGATAAAGAAATGTTTCATGAAAAATCTGAAGAAAAATCAAAGCTTTTGAGTGACTGCAAGTCCCTCTTCTTTAATTGTTTTAATTACCATTTAGAGCAAAATAACTAAACCAGTAATTAAACTGTCAATTAAACCAATGATACATATAGTATACAAAGCAAGTTTATTCTAAATTAAAACAGGGATACCCTTCAACAATCACAGAGAAACATTTAAATGAAAAAGCAATAGCAATTCCACTTCCATAATTATTTCACTCCCACTATATCAACATTAACATCCAAGTGTTCTCTGTCATATATACCAGGACAGAAGGCTGTCAAAAACGCTGCCATGCTTAAGAGTGCAATCATGCTATGGTTTCATTTGTGCATCTCACTTTAATGAAATGCCTTCATTTGATCTAGAGTGCTGCAGTGAAGGTTTTACTCAAGGATGAGCCTGAGACTGTGGTTATTTCCTCCTGGTGCAATTGACCCCATGAATGTAATTCAAGCATGTTTGTGTTTAGTGGCACAATCTGGTTAGCTCTGGTAATTAAACTCTGGTACCAGTGAGAAATGGATTTCAATAGTAGCAGCAGGTAAGAACTGCTTTCCTCCCAAATGGTATACAGATGAATGACATTTTTTCCCTGCTTTAATTTTTCAGTGGCTGTGTTAAATGTTATGTATTTCACTACATGCCGTTCACATCCTAAATATCTTGGACTTAGCTCAGAGTTTTGAATATCATGTAAATTATGTAAATCTTGAGGCTTAAATGTAAGCTTGGTATCCTCTGAAGACACTGTCTACTTATGAAGTCGTTCTTGCCAATCTCAACTGTTCCAAATAAACTGCTCCAAACCTCATCATAATATTTTCTCTGGAATCAGTTAGTCAGATTGTCCTTTTCAGGCTACCAAACACTACTGTCCAGCCACACTGTGCCCTCTAATAGGCAACAGGGACATAAGAATTGCCTGTCAGAAAGACAAATAGAACTGGTTGGATGCCTGGTTATAGGTAATTAATTATAGATGGGATATCATCCATAAAGGAATAGGACATTTTGTCATTTCTCTTTTAATATGCTAACTGAAATACAACCCAAGTCATTAATTGGTGTCCACTAGTAGTAGGTAAGTCAGATAGAAATGTCATCCAATACTCCCTTCATTAAAAATTCCTCAAAACGTCTTCTGCGAGCCTTCTGAAACTGTGTTCTCCTATCTGCAGTAGATTACATTTGGAGACTGACCAGTGAATCCACATGAATGTGCAGATCACAGATATGACCAAACTAGAGGACACTATTTCATTTCTAAACCATTAACAGAAGTATTGGATTGAACTTTGATTTGAATTAACCTAATTTTAGACATACATACAGGTATGAAGATGAGATTATATTGTCAGTCTGATGAAGCTTACTCTCTGCTGTATGTATATTCTTTGTAATCATAAAGAAGCGGCAAACATTTTTCTCCCCCACAACTGCTATGTCTATGAAATAATTTCATTCCATAAAGAAACCAATTAGATATATATCACATATAATATAGCTTTGGAAAGAAACTGTTGCTTGTTAATTTCTAAAAGTCATTAAATTCCACATTATTTTAATTAAATAAAGCAATCTAACAGGCACTGCAGATGTGACTGGTATGCATTTGAAAATTTTATAGTTCTTCATTCTACATAGTCCCACCAAAAATGACAAGAATCTGGTGAATAGCACAATCCAGATGATACAGATTAATAAAGAAGCTTTTTATGAGCAGCCACTGCAGCAAACAGGCACATTGGAGGCAGAAGACTATAAATTATTTTTTTCTTTGAGGGTACAGTTGATTTTAAAAGAGTGAAACAGGCAAGAGCCATTTTTACTAAGAAATTGTGAAAATCAGAAGTGCAAATAAAGGTTTTGGTTTTATCCAAAGGACAGAAGCAACATCAGAGTGTTTGCAGTGTTTTACCAACCCAGCTGTGTTAATATGTCCATTTTTTTTCTGAACATGGCCACACATATTCAATACTGTATAAATGGCTAATTCACTCCTAAAATGTGTAGTTCTTTGAAATGAAATGTGGTGAATATTTGAGACTACTTGGAGAGCAGAGCATAGTTCAAAAAAAGACATATGGCAAGAAGAGCTTCTCTATTACTATATATTTGTCCATCCCATATTCATCAGTGTGGTAAGTGCCTTAAAAAAATCCTGTAAAACTCCATATTGACAGGCTACAAAATAACTGCTTCACTTCTGTTCTCCCTTGTGTATATCTGAATCTCCCCTTGTATTCTCATCGACATCTCTGTGTTCCCCTCATCATTCAGTTCTCCGCTCCAGCAGACGAGTGCTGAGAAACGCCTTTTGCAGCACTTCCACTCTCTCCCTAATGGTCCAGAACTATCAGCGTCCAAGAGCAATGCAGCTCTTCCACTACTGCTGGCAGAGGGAGGTAGTCACTGGGACAGATGGTGCCAGTTATTCACAGCTCTTAAAAAAACAAGGTTATACACCTGAACTTGACTTGTGGGCTTATTCAATCATCACCCAATGAAAATCAGAACAGTTAAGCAAAACTCGAGCACTGTGGTTTTTCTGACTTCTGCTGATGAACAAGTGAGCTACGTTACCCTGTGTCACCCACTGCCTACACGGTGCAGTCATACACGATCCTAGTCATACACCATTACCTCTCCAGTAAAGGCAAAAAAGTTTCACAAAGCTTCATCTTACAGATAGTCAGTGTAACCAATGGACAAAGGCTGGAGAAGGCTGTCAAGAAAGACAGCATTTAAGGATTTTTTGAGCTTGAACTTGACTCCTTACACTGATCATTCAACTTTATTCAATGCTTCCTCAGGAATATTACAGGAATGTTATTATTAGCACTGAAGAGAAAAGAGAACTCCTCTTTCATGGGTGACTGCAATATTTTGAGATCTGATTTCACTTGTATGTCAAAGTTCCAAGGCACTCTCTTATATCAGCTTTTCTAGACTTGCTCTTCAATTCCCAATTTTAAGTGCTCTAGAGAAAGGAGTCAACAAAAAAACAAACTGCCTAGTTACTGCATCCTGCTAGAACAGCTCACTTTCAAACTTCCTACATGTAGAGTACTAAATTTGTAAGATATTGGCTTTGGCTACTATGTACTTTGCATTGTGCTAGCATTATTTATTGGATTTTCTCTCCACTACTTTAAAAATGGTGTGTATATACTGTGCAGAGCTATGAAGAAACAAAAGCAAAACCTCAGAAGAGACCACTAAAGGACAAAATATTTCCTCTAGGATAAATACTCATTGTGAATATGCTTAAAATATAAACATAATACTCATTTAGGGCAAAAAAAACCCAAAACATACCTGTGAAAAGCCAATCACCTCTCCATTTTCATCGAGCACGTTAAAATTAATGATTGGACCCTGGGCTTCAGGATTGCTGAAATCTGTATCGCTGTAAATACGTACTACAGGAGCCCCATTGGCATATTTTAAAGTAGACAGCACAGTATAGGTGTAGTGAGCTAATGCAAAGGTATGCTGGTTTATTTTCTCCATTCCACCTGCAAAAGAAAAGTGCATGCACATGTCAGATGCCTTATTTTTATGGAAATGTAAAAAAAGGATGATTTTTCAGAATGGTGTAGCTGGGAGGTAACTGGCACAAAATTGGTAGCAGAAATCTAAAATTACACTGAAATGTAACATTACATTACAACGCATTACAACATTGATAGTTCCATGTTAGGGTTATCACTAAGTTGTTCTGGAACAGCTAATTTGAAAAGCAAGTTTTGCTCCAGATCTGGTCCTGGAGATCATGGGAATGAGGCATCAATCCTAGCACAGCACAGAAAGCAAATTTCTATGTCTAAGACAAAATAAAAATATTAAAATTCTAAATGAAATGACAAAATACAGTATTAGTCTGCAAGGAATTTACTTGAATACTGAAGAAATATTCTTCCAAGCCTTCTCTTCTTTCTGCAGGAGAAAAAGAAAGAGGATGTTTTGAAAGCCTCATTGACTACACTGATGCATTCTGTTTGCTCCAGAGAAGCTACACTGAGGAGTATGGAGAACAGGACTACAGAGATTTCCTGACAGATGGAGACCTTTTCCTACATCTCTGCTTTCTGAGAGGAGGTTTTTTCTCTGTTAGATGTCCCTGTGGAAATTGCTCCTCATTCTTGTGCTCAGAGGATATGCCATAGGATGATATACTATGGTCACCTATGGCTTTGGGGATATTTTGATTCTCTGCAGGAAGCTAAAACAGAAGCGTCGCGTACAAAACGAGTCATTTCAGTCAAAGGAGACATATGTAATCTGAAACAAAGAAGCAAGTTGTGATATTCACTGTGATAAACCGCTGACAGGAGACAAATAACTGGGTATGACAATAAATATGGAATGAGAAAAGGCATAACCCTAATCTTAACCCTAAATGAACACTAATTTATCATGTGGAACAAGAAAAGTACAAGTAATCTTCAAAGTAGAAACTGAAAACCTATGAATTTGCAACTTTATGGAAGACAATATGATTTCAAAGTATTGTGAGAAACACAGGGAGATACCTGAAGGGTAACAACATGTTTAAAGCCAATCAAATGTCCACTGAAGACAGCTGGAGTTTTGGTTGAAAATCCAAAGTGGTTTCCATTACGCATGCTATGCATTGCACTATGGTGGGCCTACATCACGTGGAAAAAAAAATAGGAAAGAATAATTTCCTCAAAAGCCTCTTGAAGTAGAACAGTATTTTTCTGCCTGAGTATTAGACTCAAAGTATTTTCTGTAATGTTGAGCATCTGATTTGAGGTACATGAGCATTGCTGAAACTAAGATGTTTAACATTTTCTTTTCTTTTGTTTTCTTTTTTTTTTTTTTTTAAACTGTGTTAATTGGCACACAGAATCTCGCACTTCTGTGCATACTATTTTTACATCTGACCATCTGGAAACTTCTACTGTCTGATATAACTGCTCTTGGACAGAAATCTCATAATCTTGTTGACTTCTGTGCCTTTACTTGTGAAAAAAATAAGATATCTTTCTCCTGACATACAGAGGAATTACAGCAACTTCTATTATTTCACTTTTCTTCAAGCATCTATATCGTGTTATCTCCTTTAGATAAGCAAGGAGTGCAAACAGAAGAAGCATAGAAACAGATTAGATATAAGGCGGAACTACATTTTTTGGTGCTAAAGAATAATGAAGAGGAATAAGACATTTAATGAGATATTAAAACACAAAACATTTTCAAGTAATGTTGCCAGAAGCTAATCAGTACAATTTCTAGATGTTAGCCACAGTAAACTTGGCAAGCATCTCTAGAACATTTTGGTCTGAAAGATGATTCGTATTGTCAGAGTCTCTGAGAAAAAAAAAAAGATTGCCTAGTCAGAGTTGTCCTAGTCATTGTTTGGTAGAAGTTAAAGGTCTTGTATGAGTAGGAAAAAAAAAAAAGTTATTTCTCAGTAATTGCCAGAAAGTAGCTGTCTTAAGAGAAGTGACTGCTTTGTCAGCTTCTGAGATGTCTGTGATCTCCTGATTCAGAGCTTTTCCAAATTGGCAGGAATCCTTTAATGGAAGATTAAACTACTGTCCTCGTGTCTTGTTGAAGAAATCTCTTATTCAGAAATTTCAGTCTCTCATTCACAGTAATCATCCCGCTATCATTTCTATATTGTCTTCAGCCATTCTCTTTTAAAGTTGTTTAATCACATTTCCTTGTTCATTAGTGAGAAACTGATGAGCCTCTTAATTATTTATTCTGACAAATCCAAATTCAATAGCCTGCAGTTGCTTTGCTGCCCCGTGATTGGAGAGAAAAAGCTGTGTTGCGAGGGTCCAGTATTTTTAAGTAGCAGAACAGGTTGTGATTAGGTCTGATGTCACAGAAAACCCTGTGAAACACGTTTCAACAATCTGAAGCTTGTGCTGACAGAAAAAAGGGTATATTTGTAAAATAGTTGATTTATTTTTATGTTACTAAACAAAATGATCTGTACTGTACCCTGCATAAATCCAGTGCATACCTAATCCCCTTCTCCCCACTAGAGAAAAGACCATGAGGAAGATAAAATAAAAACCAGGACAAGTCTTCAGTCTCTAACATGATCTAAAGACTTGCATTACTGCATCTAGTCTCGTATTTGGGGTGACAAAAATAAAACTCATTGCTTGACTAAGCCTGTCTAAGGTAAATGAGAAGGTAATCTTCTATAT